ATGTTGGCAGATGGCAGTGGCCGGCCATGGCTGGTTTTCAATATTATTATTATTATTATTATTTTGATATTCAGGTATCCCAACTTACACTAGACTAAATTTTGGACCCCCAAGATCCTTGCCCTTAGAACCTTGGAGGGGATAAATCACGGGTTATGCCTCAATTGGATCACAGGTCCCCCCCACCGCCTGTACACTTCTGCGCACAAGAGATCCTCCTCCAAAGTGATTGCTCCATACCAAATAAATCTGGTCACAGGTTCCCACCAAGATTCGAACCTTCATCCTGCCGCTGGAAACAAGACAAATGTTGATTGATCCACCAGTTGAGCTGTGCCCCGAGAGGTCAAGTTTTCAATATTATTAGTTTAGGGGGTGGCGGTGGGAGTGGGGGTGGACGAGGGATATAAACAGAAGTAGTATTTTGGTTTTGGATAGGGATAGGGTATGTGGGGTTTGGATGGGGATGGGTAATTTCTATTTTTCATTAATTTGTTCTTCATTTTTTTAATTGTTTTATGTGAAAAATGCAAAATTACCATCTTATTTATTTTTATTTTTTTTAAATTTGATCAAATTATACTAAATCAACTAACAGTAATTTGGACAACATGCGCATATTTTAAGAAGGTTTTAGACTATGTATAGCACAAAATGAAGGCCAACATAAAATATGAAATTTTTTTGTAGCCTTTCAATTGAAAATATTAAAAGCTAGTCTGAACCATATTCACCTTTTTTTAGATTAATGGTGTCAAATTCTCGAATCATTTTGTGTGTAAAACTATGCCACACAAGGCAGCTCAACATATAAAAATTCAATCCAAGCACGAGTTTGCCTAACAAATTAAGCTCTTGTTTGAGCCTCAATTTGGAGGAAAAAATTCATTTTTGAGTAATGTATTAATGGAAATGTGTGATTAAAATATAAGAAAGAATTGAAAAACTTAATTGAAATGATGTCAAAATATTATTTAAGAATTCTTTTTTCAAAGAAAGGGGCTCAAAGGGCTAAGGCTTTGTTTAATTCCCATTTTTTTTCAAAATACATATTTCTCTCTTCTTTCCGATCACACATTCTTCATTAAAATAATATTATAGATAAATCAAAAAAAATTTCCCATTTTTCAACCACGCATTTCTCATCATTCTATTATTCCAAATTTTTTTTCATGAAAATGGAGCTCAAACACATTCAAAGTCTAGGCCAAGCACGACTCAACTCGACAAATAAAAGTTTGATCCAGCTCCAGACACAAGCCGGCTCGATTGGGGACTTGCCGCAATCATTATACCATACAACAGTCAATGATAAAGTAGTAAAGCACATAGGCAAAATTATTTTTGAAGGCATGATAATGGCATTGCCCATTCGAGGCAACATAGAGACGAGTGTTAGTGAAACAAAACGACTAATGCTACCTATGTAGGAGTTACAAAAGTTTTACATATTGATAAAGTATCACAAAAAAAACAAAAAAAAAAATTAGATATTTGATTGAAAAGATTTTGATCCAATAATATCTCACCACATCGTGTACTTATAAATCAATCTGTAAATTATAATGTACATGTAACACAACCGGAGCGAAACACAGGCAAAGATACCTTACAAAATCACATTTCATCTGTCAGATCAAATGATGCTGAAATTGACGTTAAACATCGTAAAAATTAGTTTATTCCCAGTAATAATATAAACACTTGAAAACCAAAATCAAGACTTAGGCAAAGACGAACTTACGACGTTAATTCATATACAACCTGTTTTGTGGAATCAAGAATCAGAGTACAAAATGATTATATACAACCAACAAGCACAATTCATTAAATATAACATATGCATACAAAATTAGAAATCCAAATTTAAAGACCTTGTCAAGTCCAACAACATACAAATCTGCACTTAATTTGGACAAATTACATTACAAAAATAACCAAAATTTTGCAACAGCAAATTGAAACCGGAACAAAATTGGAAAATGAAAATCCCCTCTGCAAATCAGGGAACATGCATCCTCCCAATTACAAGTCAATTACACATTTAACTAACCTAAGAAATAAGATAATAAAATACTTAAACGAGAAACATTTTAACCTTCCAGGAACAAAAAACCGAATTACAGGAGATCGGCAACATTGGCAGGCAGCTCCTCAATTACCACATTATAGAATTTCTGTATGTCAAAAAGCATGCGGTCGTCATCTTTGGTAACAAAATTAATAGCAACACCCTTCCTCCCAAATCGCCCACTACGTCCAATACGATGTAGGTAGTTCTCAGGCTGAGTCGGCAGATCATAGTTGATAACAAGTGAGACTTGCTGAACATCTATGCCACGGGCCAAGAGGTCAGTGGTAATGAGCACACGTGAAGAACCAGAACGGAATTCTCTCATGATGATATCTCTTGTATTCTGGTCCATGTCTCCATGTGTAGCAGATACAGTATGATCACGACTTCGCATTTTTTCAGTGAGCCAGTCAACCTTACGCCTGGTGTTAACAAAGATGACACTCTGGGTGATGGCCAAAGTCTCATAAAGATCACATAGAGTTTCGAGTTTCCATTCTTCCTTTTCAACATTGACATAGAATTGCTTGATACCCTCAAGAGTTAGCTCATCACGTTTGACAAGAATACGGACAGGCTTATTCATAAACTTCCTTGTGATTTCAAGAGCCTCGGGTGGCATTGTTGCAGAGAATACACCAACTTGAATTTTAGGTGGCAAAAGCTGGAAGATATCATATATCTGAAAAGAACAAACCTCCGTGTTTGAAACAAAATATTCGGAACAATGAAAGGCTGAAACTGAATTTCAGGCTAACTACAGGTAATATCATTCCAAGTACTACGACCAAAGAAAATACCATAAACCAACAAGAAACAGAAAAATGTTAAATTAAGTCAAAGCAGTGATCAATAATGGCAATACTCATTTCATTTTTTGAAGAATAATAAGTCATATAGAGAATTACTGAAAAATAATGATATAGAAGAACATTACGGCGAACCAAAATTTCATCGTCTGAAAAGTTAAACTACAAAAAAAAAAATAGAACTTGTAGATATAAATGTAACCTGAGACGAATATAGATATTGTGCATATGAACTGCAAAAACATCAGTTACACAATAAACTAAATAAAGGAAGCAGAAAGCAAAAGGTAAAAAGCTAAAAAACAGACCTGATCCTTGAATCCTCTTGAGAGCATTTCATCTGCTTCATCCAACACAAATATCTTAATGTAGTCAGGGCGAAGTGACTGCCTCCGCAACATATCAAAGACACGACCTGGGGTACCAACCACAACATGAACTCCGCCGGAAAGAATACGCTGATCTTCACGAACAATGGTACCCCCAACACAAAAATGAACCTTGACACCAAGATAGTCACCTAGTGCTCGCATAACCTTCTCAATTTGTTGCGCAAGCTCACGAGTGGGTGCAAGAACCAAAGCCTGGCATTCAACCGTTCCATAGTCCAGCTGTTGGAGAATACCAGAGCAGAAAGTTGCGGTTTTCCCAGTACCAGATTGTGCCTGTTGAATTACATCAAGTCCCTTGCAAAATGGAACAATTCCCCTCTGCTGAATAGCAGAGGGCTTCTCAAAACCTTGAAAGAATAAAGAAAAAACACTAAAGCCATATTGATTTACAGAAAGAATGGAAGAAAAAGAAGAACCATCAAGAATCTTATACTGCCAAACAATATAGGACTAATGAAAAGCACAATCCAGACGTAGCACATGAAGACATATTATATTTT